TTGGAGGCCATGGCGGAGCAGCCTCCGAGGCCGCGGCCCCAGCCCCCGCCTCGGCCTCTACGGCTGGAGCCACAGTACCCCCCCCCAAAAAATACTTGGGGAAATTTAAAGGGCCTGGAGCCCTCCCTGGGCCCAACGGGGAAACACGAGCCCTCCCTGGGCTCAACTGGGGATCTGGAGCCCTCCCTGGGCTGAACGGGGGAACAGGAGCCCTCCAAAACATGGAACAGAGTCTGACAGGGTCTTAGGGTGGCATCTCTGCTGTTTTGCGGATGATGTCGTTCTAATGGCTTTATCGGGCTGCGACTTTCAGCATTTACTTTGCGAGCAAGTGTCGGGAATGAGGGTCAGCTCCTGAGTCCATGGTTCTCAGCCAAAAAAGCATGGATTGCCTGCTTCAGGTAGGGAGTGAGATGTTTACGCAAGTAGAGGAGTTCAAGAACCTTGTTTTCTCCGCACAGTGTCTAGGCTGACCCTGAGAGACAGGGTGCGAAGTTTGGACATCCAGGAGAGACTCGGCGTAGAGCCACTGCTCCTTCGCATTGAAAGGAGCCAGCTGAGGTGGTTCGGGCATCTGGGCAGGATGCCTCCCAGACACCTTCCAGTGGAGGTGTTCCAACTGGGAAGAGACCCCAGGGCAGACCCAGGACATGCTGTAGGGTTTACTCTGCTGGCCTGGGAACGCCTTGGCATCCCACAGGATAAGCTGGAGGAAGTGGCCAGGGAAAAGGACACATGGGCGTCCTTACTCAGCCTACTGCCAGTGGTTGGATGGGGATCCAGGATCCAGTCCCATCTCATTTACCCTCTCCCACACCTACCTTCCGGTCTGCTGTCCTGTAAAATAAGGCAAAAAGCCCATTAAAAATTATAAAATTCAGCCTCTCCTAGTGATGAGATCAAGCTTTTCAAGTCATTGTTGCAATTTTGACAAAGCCTTTTACAGTATATGTCAGCCAGCTAGATGTTCAATATAAATAGAGCAAACAAATATTTATAATTTCAAATGCTTATGATAGCTTCAGCCACATAAAGTGGAAAAGCAAGAGTTCAGAACATTTATTCAGCATTATGGCAGACCAGTGACCTCAATTCAAGTCAGTTACATTGCGTATAAAACACATAAGTATTCTTCTAATAGCAGAACTTAATATGTGGAGCCGTGGTGGGGTCTCGGTGATCACTGGGAAATGTTTGGGTGCTCCCAATGGCCAGTCAATAGGTCCACAGCCAATCATAGGCCCCCTTCATCTTCGGGCCCTGGGGCTTCAGTCCTGCCTATAGCCCTTGTGTTAATCCGTCCCTGCACATGTTGCCGGTGCATTGCTACTCCGAGTCAAAGCATCAGTGTCACTGTCCGAGAGCAGCCAGACAGCTAATCATCGGTAATAACGATCTGAAAATATCTTCAACTAAGTATTTTTTTTTCTTTGTAGAAATTTCAAATGTGACAATGACAGACATCCCACCTCTCCCAGAAGTTTCATGATTCTCTTGCATATTGTTAGCGGCTCCCTGATGCAAGCAAATTATATAAATTATAGAGAAGCCCTGTTTCCAGGGTATGAAATTGCATTTTTTGGCGATTCAATCAACCTGTCAGCTGAGATGCGTTTATCGTTTCCAGCTGATAAACTTGCGTTTTGAATGTGTCTCCTCTAACCACTTGTGTTCAGATTTCGTCACACTCTCTACATCAGTTTCACGGGAGCATCAATGCAGTGCACGAATGCTATTGAATTAACCAACACAGGTAACACAGCTTACGAGCGAGCAACTGAAGAACGGAGGACAGCTGTGATTTTTGGTGCTAATGTCATTTACTGTAAATTTAAATTAGTATCTAGGGGTGGGAGAAAAAATCGATTCTCCGATGCATCGCGATTCTCTCTTCAACGATTCTGAATCGATTCTGAGCATGGTTTTTCCCCGCATATGGCACGTGTGTGCGCTAGAGACAATCGCGGCGGGCTTCATTGCACAGAATATGCGCTGTGAGACACGTGCGCATTGCTTGACAGTGTCAGTATTTTACTTTAGATACGCGTTCATTTATGCCGTTTGGAATGCAGTACGTATAAGATGCACAAAACTCACATACTGACAGACTTTCACGTGTGCTTTGTGTTTGATGTCCTGAAGCTCGATCACGGCTGCGGTTAAATGCACTTGCATCTCCGAATACTTTCATACGAAATTGATGTAAACAGTCAGTTATGTTTTCAGAACAGGACAAAACATCTGATAATCGTACAACAAAAAAACAAACAAAAGATAATCGTAATAGTAATCGAAG